AGCGCAATGATGGTGCCAACTTGGGCCAGTGAAGCAACATCCTCCACAACTAGACTGAAGAACAAAATGACAGCAACTTGTCTGTCCCCCTTCCCCAATTCCCCAGCACTGTTCCCATCCCCCCAATTCACCAATAAAAAAAAAAAGTCTTTAAAAAAAAGAGGCAGTGGACTGGATTTGGAGTAAGGGCTCTAGTTTGCTGATCTCTCATCTAGGAACTTCCTGAGAAAGGAAGGCTAGCAGGTGAATGCTGGGGACGTGTTTGTCTGAAAGTGTCTCTAATCTACACTGAAACATCCAGGTTGTTGAAATAGAATTCTACATTGGAAATAACTTCTCAAAATTTTAAGGGTGCTGCTCAATTTTATTTCTACCTTCTACAACGCCTCGTTTCATTTAGCTCAGTAGATCCACTAGAGGTAGTGCTTTGCCTTCGGTTTTTATTCAGGCTCATAGAGCAATTTTGCTTCATTAGTAACATTTAAAATTTTTCTAAAAAAGAAAATCCATTTATTTATTTATTTATTTATTTGTTTGTTTGTTTGTTTATTTATTTTAATTGAGGAACAGTGTGTTTTTCTAGGACCCATCAGCTTCAAGTCAAGTAGTTGTTTCAATCTAGGTGTGGAAGGCACAGCTCAGTGGTCCATGTGGGGATGGAACTGGCAACCTTAGTGTTATGAGCACTGCACTCTGACCAACTAAGCTAACCAGCCACCCCCAAAAGAAAATCCATTTAAAGAAATTGACCATTATGTTTTCTGATGAACTTTACCCAAGGAATAGCTTTTCCTAGAATCTCAGGGCAGTTTCTATGCTGTCTTTTATGAGACAATAGGAATTAAGAAATCTATTGTGATTCATTTTTATGTCTTGACTGTTAGTGTCCAATTGCATTAAACCCTCATACCATATTCAATTCATTTGTAGCCTCAGATGTGTAATAAATGTGCAGGAAAAGACAAAGGGAACACAACTGTTTTTGGCAGCTATTGCAACATTTCAGATGAAAAGTAATAGAAATGGAGAGATGAATTCCAAATTCAAGAGGCAATTCAAACACAGATAGGATGTAGGAATTCAGGGTCAAGGGAGCTCATTCTGAGATTTCCAGTTTAGAGAAGTGACAAAGTACATCATCACAAGGTAGAGGAATAAATTTGGAGGCTAGGGAAAAGAAGACGGGTTTTGAATATATTGAGCAAAGCAAACATTAATTATTGATTATATCTCCCCGCCCACCAAATTACTTTCAAAGAGTAGTGGAAATGCCATATAATAACAGGAATGATGCAGAAGAATAAAGACAAAAGCCAAGTTGTAAAGCAAATAGGAACAACCCAGCTGATGTCAAAGCAAAGGGGAACATCTCTAAGCCAGCAAGGACATCAACTGTGCCTGGATATGGTCCACACACTCAGAAAACCATTTGGTCACATGGCAGCCTACCCTTGTCTCTTGTCCCCGAGAGCATCCGGGCCCAGACAATGGGGCCTTTGGGGAGGACTGGCAGCCAGTGTCAAGCTACCAGCCAGCTCCAAGGATGAGAACTAACTCCTGGCTCAAGAGCACTCAGCATGTTTCATGGAAGTCCAGCTTTTGTATTCAGGGGCTCACAGAAGTGTTTCATTCCAAACCCCACCCAGAGAAATAGATACACTGTGCCTCCTCCACCCAGATTGGGAAGGGGAACAGCCAAGTTGTTGTCCTCCAATTTTAGTTGTGGAGGGCGCAGCTAGCTCAGCTTCAAGTCCAGTCGCCATCCCTCCGCCCATTGGCAGCTCGGAGCCGCTCAGCTTAAGGTGCCGTGTTCAATCTTAGTTGCGGGTGGGGTGCAGCCCACCATCCCGTGTGGGAGTCGAACCGAAAACCTTGTTGCTAAGAGCGCATGCTCTAACCACTGAGCCATCCGGCTGCCTGTAGGCAGCTCAGGGCAGCTAGCTCAAGGTGCTGTGTTCAATCTTAGTTACAGTTGGGCAAAGCCCACCATCCCATGTGAGAGTTGAACCGGCAACCTTGTTGTTAGGAGCACGTGCTCTCACCAGCTGAGCCATCCTGCCACCTGTTGACAGCTCAGTGGCAGCTCAGCTTGAGCGCAGCTCACTGGCCCATGTGGGAATCAAACCGGCAACCCTGTTGCTCAGAGCTCACACTCTTAACCAACTGAGCCACTTGGCTGGCCCTAAACAACAACTTTTAAAAGTCCCATCCTGGGCCAGCCGAGTGGCGCGATGGTTAAGAACTGGCTTGGGACGCCAGGGAGCCCCGGTTCGGATCCC